GCCGTAAGATCAATAGCGCTTACTCCGGCACTCTCTCCTCATATGGCTGGGTTCTCATGGTCCTACACTACCTCGTCAACATCGCCCAGCCAGCCGTGTGCCCGAATCTGCAGATGATGTGGCAACCGCCGAAGAACATGGACGTCAAAACCCTCGAGAAGCTGTTCAGGGATACGAAGATTTTAGGGTACCCAGTACGCTTCTTTGATGATGAGGCGGAGATTACGAAGATGGCGCGGGCGGGACGATTTACGGCGAATACTCAGTCTGTGGGCGCGCTGCTGAAAGGTTTCTTCCAGTACTATTCATCGGTGCCGCAACCATATACCTCCGGACAGCGCCCACCGTCGTTCTACTGGACGAGCGAGGTCCTGAGTCTGAGGACTCCGAATGGTGTCCGCTCGAAGTATGAGAAGGGATGGACGGGTGCGAAGACAACCATCTCGGCCAACGGTAGAGAGGTTCGTCATCGATACCTCTTCTGCATCGAGGACCCATTTGAGCTGGACCATAATGTTGCGAGGACGGTCACGCATCCCGGTATCGTCGCTATACGTGATGAGTTTAGGCGTGCGTGGAGGATCTTGACGGCGGTCGGTCAAGACATGGAGCCTGAGGGGGGTCTTTTTGACGAGATTGTCGAACAGGGTCCGCCGACACCGGTAAAGGAGGAGGTGGTCGATGGTGCCAGCTTCAACGTAGTTGATGTGAGGATAGGTGGCTTCAAGACTACTCCGGTCGGATGATGGTGAATACCGTCAATGTTACGCTCTGGTGGATGTGCATGGTATTTCGTTTTTTACGATTCATGGGGGCGTTATACGGTCTTGGGCATGGTGATAGGATTGTTCTACACGGGGGAGCCTGTTTGGTTTCCAGGGTCGATGATGAACATGATGATTTCGATATTTCATGGATGGATAGGACATCTAGTGGGAGGACACTGGGTTGACGATGATGATGGGTTTAGCTATTCGCTCTCAGTCATGCGGATATGCTACTCAATGATGCTACTCAATGAAAATGATATGATCACATCAGTTAAATGAAAACGAGCAAGCTTGTGAACTGTGTTTACTTGTATCTCTCTCTCTCTCTCTCTCTCTCTCTCTCTCTCTCTCTCTCTCTCTCTCTCTCTCTCTTTCTCGCGAAGGTTTTCCTACGGGGTCCTATGTTAGTTGCGGTATACTATATAGATAGGTATATATCTTAATCAAATAGCCTATATAGTTTGCGATTGCTAGTAAAGTTAGCGAACAAAGTAGATATCTATCCAACCACCATTCTATAGACTCTAGAGATCGGGCTTGCGACCTCTACCTGTTTTTAAGGGCGGCAAGGGAGAGAGAGAGAGAGAGATTGAATACACGGATAACCTATATAAGACCGAGTATTGAGTATCTGCAATAAACAACGAAAGATAGTAGATCTCGTTACCGTATAGAGCAGTAGCTATAGAAAAGCACCCATCCTCCTCTTCCTAACCCAAGGCTCTCCCATCTCATGCCGGGGGTAACACGGAATCGAGATAGAATAGGATAGAAGTGGCAAAAAACATGCCAAGACCCGTAACCATGATAAAGAGAAGAAAATAAGCAATACACCGCAGACAGAAAACGCCATGGTCTCAGTCCCTGATCCATATATAAATAAACAAGCATAACCCCGCCAAAAAATATTTTTTTACTCATCAACCTCCCACTCCTCCGCCTCCTCTACCTCAATCCTCCGTTGCGCCCTCTCCATAACCTTTTTCATAACGTCCCTCTCCAACTCGGGAAACATTTTCAATCTCCTCGTCATAGCCGCATGATTATCCCTCATCAAGGCGTAGTAATTATCCGCAATATATTCCGTAAGCATATCCTTCATGCGCGCGTAACCATCAAGCGGGGTCCCAGGAGTCCGATAAACAAGCTCGACGAAAACCAGCACTTCGGCCGAAGACCAAGGACCCACGTATTCCATTTTGTCGCAAATATGCTCCAAGAGGTCTTCCATGCTGAGCTTATCAGCGATGTCCCAGGCGGAGACGCATTCAGCAAAGGCTTCGTCGCGGTTTTCGTCGGTGATGATGCGGATGCCGAATTCGTCGTCGTCGAGGTATTGGGCGGCGAGTTTGAAGTCGGTTGGGTCGCATTCGGAGAGGCTTGGGAGGTTGATCGTCCAGCCTTCTTTGCCTTTGGGGACCATTCGGCCGTGATGGGTAAGGGCGAAGTATCGACGTGAGAATACTTTCGTGGAGAGGATTTCGAAGCGTGAACGCTCGGGTCCGACTAGGAATTGGACAAATGCTTTACTGTCTTCCCTGGTGTGGGTTAGTTTGGTCGGTCTCTGGAGAGGCTGGCTATACGTACATTTCTTCGACTACGTCACCCCTCTGAATGGTCGGGTGACTTGGTCGGGATGATGGTCCGGCAACTGTGTAGTTGCGAATGTCTCCATGCTCGTACTGATGAAGCGGTGGAGATGCAGACGGTGTCGGTAACGAAGTCCTACCGCGAGCCTTCCTCTCCTCGATCAAACTCCGTTGGATAGCTTCTCTCATATCATCTTCGTCTTCCGAATCCGAGTCTACCGATGAGGAAGAAGACACGTCTGGATGTTGATTTTGACTTTGAATCAACATCCTCCAGTAGTCGAGGCCGTTCATTTCAGATCCTATCGCCTCATGAAGCATCCCATACGCTTCTGATAGACCGTTTGTCTGGCTGACCTCTTCGCTGTCCGGGAACATGTCTTCTATTGGATGGAGATCTCTCGTTAGGGCATAGCACCTAAAGGATTTAGTCTGCATACAAGCCAAGAGTGCTGGCTGGAGCAAGTCTTACACCTCTGGGACTTCCTTGATTAGAAGCACTGTGTGGTAGAAGCCGTAAGGTCTAGAGGAGGCGCTTGGAACCAGGTCGTCGGGAATCATGATAGCAGGCCATGGTCGCTGTTGACGGTCCCGATGTCCTACCAGAAGGTATTGACCTATCTCCGGCTCAAAAAGGGGTGTGCCTATGCGATCCATTGGGACCATGAAAATAGATGACTGGTGGTTGCAAGTATATGGTGGATAGAGAAAGAAATATAGACGGAGAATAAGTGGAAGACTTGTGGAAACGCTGCTTGAGAGGTGAGAGAGAAGAGCAAGCTCAAGGATCACCCGCTAGTTCCACGAGAAGGAGGGAACAAACCCTTCACGTAGCAATTGATGAGACTAGTGTGAGCTCAGTGAGTCGATCGTTAATCGGACTATCTTGAGAGCGTGGTAGTGCGTAGGCAGCGAAGGTGCTACAAACATGGGGAAGCCAATGAACCGTTGTCGTTGGTTCAGGGATCAGGTAAAGGTGGGTTGAAGCCCAGCAATCAGAATTCGACGCCGCTACACCGTTCCAATAGTCCTGTGACAACATTTCAGAGAATTCTAACATCGTAATGTTCGACGGTAGATAGATAACGTGATGGCGGAGGAATAGTTCGATTTCAGAAGCGGTAGCTCAACCCAGCTTAGTCATTCAAGCAGGGATCAGTACCAATCACCGAGTTCACGAACATCTGGCTTCAAGCTCCACATCCGCCCGCAGCGCAAGCTCACCACCCACCAATTCCCCCCAGATCCCAGCGATACCGAGACCAGGATCGCAGCCCGTCGCATACCGCGACTCTAAATCCGAAAAAAAGAAAATCCGGCACCTTGAACCCCCCCGTCCAGAAATCAAGCCCACCAAAACCCTCCACCGCGAACCCTCCAAAGCCGTCACCATGCTCGGCCTCTCGGACATGCAACCGCGACAATTCGCCGCACAAGTACTGAATTTCGCTCTCGTCCTCTCGACCGCCTTCATGCTCTGGAAAGGTCTCAGCGTAGCCACCGACTCGCCGTCCCCCATCGTCGTCGTGCTGTCCGGATCCATGGAACCCGCGTTCGAGCGAGGCGACCTACTTTTCCTGTGGAACCGGGGTTTGGATACACAAGTGGGGGAGATTGTGGTGTACAATGTGAAGGGCAAGGATATTCCGATTGTGCATAGGGTTGTCCGGCGGTACGGTGGGGGGTAAGTCCACTTTCCTGATTATAGTTGGGGGAGAAGTGCTGTTAGTTCGCAAGGGAGAAGGATTGAAGGCGGGAAGGGTTTTTTGTTTGGGAGTGGACGGTTTGCTGACTGTGGGATAGAAAAACACCCCTCAAGCTCCTCACTAAAGGTGACAACAACCTCGCAGACGACACCGAACTCTATGCCACAAATCAGGACTTTCTTACCCGCAAGGAAGACGTAATTGGCAGTGTAGTCGGCTTCATTCCCTTTGTCGGATACGTCACGATCTTGCTAAGCGAGTACCCGTGGCTGAAGCAGGCCATGTTGGGGATAATGGGGTTGATGGTGGTGTTACAACGGGAATGAGGTAGATGTAGCTTTATAAAACGGGCTTGGGATACTCGGAGCGTATTTATTATCAGAATATACGGCAGATGTATACTGATCTTCATGAAATATTCTCGTCTTTGGCTGTTCTGTAAGATCATAGGCGGCTAATAAAACGGTTTGGTATTCTGAAAGTACGATTGGGAGATTCAAGCATGGCGTTCAGGTGCATATGGCTCGGACTTCAAATTCATGGGAGCAAAGAGATGTGCACGACCAAATATATCAAGACTACAAACCGCTGCGAGCCTCCACCAGTTTTCTCTGCCTTCATCCAATTCAAGCACAGTTACAGTAGTAGGTCCAGAATGCTGTAGCATCTCTGTAGGCTTGCAATGTATCAACAGCTTCCGACATACTGTCCATTCCACCTACCACTAAAAGCCCAGTTCCCCGCCCTATCTAGCATCTCTGTATTCATCAAGTAAACGCAAATACGATACAGAACACAAACAGCGCAATCCCAAGCAAAAGCAAAATCCAGGACCAAACCCCCAGTCAAAAAAAAGCAAACAAAAAGAAAGCAAGCATGCGCCGTGTGGGGTCTACCAAAGCGTTAGCACTCAACCCTAACAACCCCCAAGCCCCGGAATCTCACGTACTCGAACCCACGACCCCCGCCTAGATCCACATGAGAAATGGGAAGGCGGTATCCTAACCACTGGACTAACGGTGCGTTATGATTGTCGATGGCAGCTTTGCCAGAAACCGGTATACATACAACAGCCAAGCTGACACTGAAGGGAGGAGGGGGGTACCAAGAAGATGAGGCTATGAGCGTGTGGCTGAGTTGAATTTGAATTGTGCGAATGGAATATTGGGATGTGCGGGAGGGGGCGGATTAAGGGGGTTAGAGGTCGGGAAGGTGCGTTTGTGGATGCGGCTTCCCGGCGCGCATAGGGGAGGAAGGTATGAGCCAAAAAACGATAACAGAGATGCGAGACATGTACTTTGGTTGCGAAGATATGGTCATGTCTGTAAAGGCAGGGCGGACTGTCTTTCATCTTTATGTACTTTTCTTTTATAGGTAACACCTTCTACAGTACATATCCAATACTAATAGTCATGTCCTATTGTTCAAGGTGCACAGTATAGTTGCAAATGCCAACGAGTACGTGAATCTACATTTGTTGGCTGTGTACACGAACGAATGGACAGAAAACCATGGAGCTACCGGAACAAGAATATTTTGACACAAACAACCAACGGGCCAAGGGCTAGAGCAAACAAAGAAGCAAAGCAATTACATGTCGGTAGTGTCCAATTCAGGGCAATTCAGGGTGTCGACCCCGGAACAATCATACAGCGGGATCCGAAATACGAAGGCATGAGCAGCGCTACGCTGGAGGCAATGACCACGCACGACGCTCATATAACCCGAACCAATCACCATCAAGACATCACTCAGAAGATGATACAATATCAGCACTGTTTTCATACCGCAGATAACTAGTGTACAAGGTCATGGGCTTCGTGATGTTCCTGCGTCAGGTGAGTGGACGCCAAACATCATTAAGAACCCCCATGAAGGAGCATCCTGCGGCTTTCCCGATAACTGGCAGGTCGAAAGCCTCCGCAAATGCCCATACATAGAAAAGATGCTAGAAGCAAATATGAAGTATGGCAAACCTGCCGATATCCTAGCCCATGAAAGCGCCGACCGAGACCGAAGACATTTCAGAAGATCTCACGGAGCAGCGTGAGTTGACATTGATCGAAGAGGGAGTTAATCGGACTCCTCCTCCTCCTCTTCTTCCTCAGGCTGGTTCTACTCAAAGTTAGCTAGGCCCAGGTTAGTCATGCAAGATGATTTGCTTACGGCGTAGGCCTCCTTCTCCTGCTCGTATCGCTTCTTGTCGGCAGCAGCCTTGGCTTCGTACGGTTGACGCTGCTTCTCGCTGAGGGACTTCCACCTCTCGCCAAGCATCTTGCCGACCTCGCCTGGAAAAGATTAGGTTCAGAGGCTTCAGGCTTCGGATGACGGTACATACCAAATTTGATTCCGGGGTTCTCTTCGCGCACCTTGTCACGCTGGTCGTTGGCGAAGAACATGTAAGCGGACAGACCACGCTTGGGGGCGTTGGGGTCTGCTCACGTTAGCTGGAGGAAGGCAACACGTGACCAAGGGCGACATACCCTTCTTCTTCTTGCCGGTGTCGGCCTTGCTGGCCTTGCCTTTGCCGCGGGTGGTCTTCTCCTTAGGCATGTTGACGGAAGGATGCAGGTATGCAAGCTTTCTGTGATGGAGTGTAAGTAGGTGGGCAGCACAGGGTGCGAGATTAAATAGCGGTGTAGGATTGCTGGAACAAACAATGGTGGGCAGGACGCAGGTGACGAGTGGTGGTGAGGGCAGTGTGAAGGGTGCGATGTGAGTGCGACGTGAATGCTGTGGCCGCTGGAGTAACCGTGGTGAGGCGCGCTTGCTCTTGCGCGTCCAGACCGGTCGCAAAACACCACGATGGGTCGCGAGGATGCGCGATTTTTGCAGAAAGGAAAAGAATACTCACAGATGGCGTCGAGGGGATAAGTGAGAAATGCGCTCGACGTGGTCTGGGGTGTGTCAGTATAGGGGTGCTATTCACGGCGGCGACGGCGAGGTTGACGACGCAAAGAAACGCGGCGATGCTGCGACGATGCAAAAGAAGAAGCTGCGGACGACAGGATGACGCGAATTGGGCGCGGAAAACGCGAGCAAAGAGAATGGGTGGTGGTGCGCGCAGCTTGGTTGCGTACTCCTGCGTGGAAATGGAAGCGAGGACCTACCAGGCGATTGTTGGGCGGAGTCGATGTCGAGGGCTCACAGTACTGAGGAGTTGGGTGAGAGACTGCGGGCAAAAGAGAGGGACCCGCGAAGACTATGACCAGCCATCGGCAGGCTCGGGCTATGGGGCACGTGACTACCAAAACACATTAACTGGGCACCCACCAGTCGACCGACCCCTCACGAAACAAAGGGAAGGAACGGTGCGCCCGACGCGCCGCATTGGTCTGCAAGAGCCATCCGACGTGGAGGAGCGGACGACGAGGGCTGGCGACACTGCTTGACAGAGATTTATATTTCGTTTTGCTGCTGGAATCCCCCGTTGCTGCTCTGGCGCCCATGGCGATTGCTCCACGCTTCGCAGGCCGTGTCCCGGGGCAGCTTGCCTTCGCGCAGCATTCCCCCCTCGAGCGCCATGACGAGCCGTTTCATGTGGCCGGTTAGATTGCGGGCGAGACGACGCAATGTTATTCGCTTGCGCCAGAAATCCCCATCCCCCAGCGTTATCTGGCCGGCCGCCTAGAGTTCCAACTTCCAGAGCAGGCGTTCTCACTGCTCCGCTTGCGTTCCGCAGCCTTTTTGCACCCACGCATGCGGCCTCTCTCGGCAGCGGGCGCAAGCCTGCTCCACGGCGCCCTGCGAACGGAACAGAGCAGAAGGCTTTTATTTCGCCTGGCAGTAGCCAGCGTCTAGCACACCACAGAGAAGCGCGACGTCTGGTCGGGATCCGCTTTCGTCATATACGCACTAAGCCATTTACGGAAATATAAACAATTCGGAGAAGGGAGCCCAGGCGCTTTGCGTGTATTAGTCAGGAACGTCAGGGTCAACCGGCATTGCTCCGGAAACGGTGGTGACGGCCCCAGTCTGTCAGACGTCACCTCCCAGTGCCACAGCCCTGGAGCTCCACCGCGATCGAAATCTCTCATATTGCGCTACGCACACAAAACAGTGGTACAGGTGGTAGAACAGCTCATCCATCTTCCTCGTCGCTCATCACGAGTTCCTGCAGGGCCTCGTCCGCTGCCCAGTTGATGCCGCTGCCGACAATCATGGCGGATACGATCCCCTTCAGCGTTCGCATCCGCCTCCGCGACTCCTTCACTTCCTTCTCCACGGCCTTGACCTGCTCTCTTAGTCGAGCGTCTTCAATGTCCTGGGTCGACTGCGTTTTCATCTGCTCGGCCAGCTCAAGCAGCGTCTGAGATAGTACCCGGTTCTCTTGGTTGGCCGCCATGTTGCCCTGCTCTGCCGCACCCAGAGCCCGCGCAGTGGATGCGAGCTTCGAGGCCAGTGAGCCATGCATCATGCAGAGGGTATCATGCTCGGTGAGTAGAGGCAAAATACGCCTACGCCTGGTAAGACTCGAGCCACTGTAAACGAGCAGATGCTACTTACTTTTCGGCGAACTCGGTATCTTCGCCGCCGTGCACAGCTTTCAGCACGGGATCCATAACTAGCACGTTGTGCGATATACGGTTCCGTATCTCAAACTTTGCCTTTGCGTCCATGGCCTGACGCTGAGCCGTGATCAGCTGCTCTTGCAAGCCGTCATCTGATAGTGTTGAAACAGTAGGCACATGGGCTGCAGAACTTAGCATCAATTCATTCCCATGCCATACTTGCGTACCTGACTCCTGCGCCTCGATGAGGCTCTTCTGCAGCTCAAGCTCCCGTAGTTGATCGTACAGCTCCAAGGCGCGCCTCTCAAGGTCAGAGAAGGCGAACGCGTCGCTGTGTGGCGTCTGCAGCAAGCCGGAAGTGCCGCCTGGTTTCTGTGCTCCTGCAGCCGTGTCGGCCATGGTGATGTCGTTCATGGCGGACATGATTTGTTCTTGACGTTCCTCAGCTTCTGGCTTCCTGGGTGCGCTTTTGGTCGACCATCTGATCGCGTCTTTGGGACATCATGGGGGTCCGTGTACCGGCCGATCCCTGTCGAGGATCCACCGGGGCTTGGCGGTGATACCTTGTGCTCTCTCCTACGCCTCGAGCTCTCAACTCCTTTAACAGACCTGTCGCAACTGTTCAAGCGCAGGTGTAATGCAACTCGCATGTCGCTGCAGATCGCTGTAGCTCATACGGGCCAGCGTCTCGACGCTGATCCCGTCAGCTTCCACGACATCGATGCGCTGAAGCGGTGGATAGCGAAAGCTACTGAGATTCCGCCCGAGTGTCAAATCTTGCTCACCACGCGTGGCAAGCATGTTAAACTGCAGCTGCTGCTCACGGAAAAGGAGATTTTTGTCTACCATCGCGAGCTTTCGTCCGGGCCTTCCTCGGCTCTCTCGCTGACGCCGCTGCCCGACATCCTCACGCCTGACGATGCCCCCGACACCCTCTCCAGCCACACAGATCTACGAGCATGGCAGACCTTATTCCAGGCCCGCCGGGATTGGGCCTTTCGCCTCCTCGAGCACTCCCACTCCACGTCCCTCGAAGCTTCAAAGCACTTCGCAGAACAAGCAACAATCGACAAAGGCACCCAGATTGCTGTAGGCAACCATGACTCGCACATACGCGGCCTGGATCAGAAGCACCAAGAGGTTAGGGAATGGTTCGATGGGGTCGAGAAAGAGGCGGTAGACAACTTGCGCAGGCTGGACGCCGACTTTGGACAGCTTGGAGCCATACCGGCGAAGAGCGAGTTTATACAGTTCCTGGCGAAGGAAGTAAGGTCGCCACAGGCAGCACAAAATGGACGCAAAACCTCGCCCAACCGACCGGATACGCTGCAAGAATTCATGGATGTTGATGCTCTGAAGAAGGCCACGGCTGTCAGCAAGAAGGTGCGCGAGTCTTTTGGCAAGCGCATGGCTGGCATGGGAACGCAGCTGGAGAAGATCACGGCAGACTATAATGAGCTATTGAGCGCGGTTGGCCAAAGCCAGAGTCGGTCGTTGGTGGATGACAGCGAG